GAAAGGATATCATTTCTGGACGTCCTAATTACTCGAAATGGAGAGAAACTGTCAACTGATATATACTACAAAACGACAGACACACACCAATACCTCCATTTTGGTCCATGCCACCCCAGACATACAAAACGTTCAATACCGTATAATTTATCGAGAAGAATCTGTACCATAGTCAGTGATGAGGCACGAAGGAAGGAACGTCTTAAAGAGTTGAAAGGGTATCTTTTAGATCAGAAATATCCATTAGAAATTATAGAAGACGGAATTAAAAAAGCCGAAGAACTGGACCGTAACCAATTAATTAATCCACCGTCTACGGACACTACAGAGGAGAAAATACTTCCTTTCGTTACGACCCACAATCCAAGAAATAGGAACATGACCCCAATTGTTCAACATCTCAATGGAGTTCTTAAAACCGACGAAAAAATGTCAAAAGTTCTTCAAAATTTCCAATTCATTAATAGTAAGAGGCAACCGAAGAACCTCCGTCGCTTATTGTGCAAGTCACATTTTCAACTAAATAATGTGCACTCAGTCAGCAAATGCCCTGACCGTCGCTGTGGAACATGTCCGTACATAAGAGAAGGAAATACCTTTAAAATTGGGCCCAAAGATTTTAAAGTTAATGCTAATATGTCTTGTGGGTCTAAAAACGTCATATATTGTATAACGTGTGAAGGATGTGGCCAATTTTACATCGGCGAGACTGGAACTAATCTCCGTACCCGTATCCGAATCCATAAACAACATATTCAACATCCGGAATACAGACAGGTCAAAGTAAGTGAACACCTGGACCAATGCGGTAACGGATATTTCACCGTGTTCCCCTTTTACAAACTGTTTACCGACAGTACTGAAGAAAGAAGAGAAAAAGAAAAATATTTTTATTAAGTCTTTAAAACCAACTTTGAACAGTTTAGCATAGTTTATTGTATTTTATATACATGTATGTTTATTTCTCATATGTTCAAAATGTACGCTTTTGCTTGTTTCCCGCAAATTCATTGTGACGTCATTGTATTGTTGACAACGTCATTACCATAACATTTTAACGTCAAATGTTTAAAGTAAAACGTCTGAAGAATTTGAATGAAAGCGCTAACGTTTCACAACTTGTGTTGTCGTTTTTTCTTTTTTTAAATATTTATTGCCGGACACTGTGACTATTTATATAATTTATTATATACACATTTTGAATATATATATATATATATATATATATATATATATATATATATATATATATATATATATATATATATATATATATATATATATATATATTATATGTATTAAATTCAGCGCACTCTACCGTATTAATCGTAAGTTAGTCATACCTTTGATATGCAACTATGTATGTAATGCATAAGTTTACGCACGCTCCATAAACTTCATCAAATGTCACACTTGACGTTAGCAACCCATCAAAAATTGTGTAACGCACAAGCATCTTATGTCCTACTTATGGGGACTGTATCTGTATCTTGTGTGTAACGTTCATACTTATTGTGTCTTGGGCTTGTTCAAAGTTTGCCCTACGACTTAACGTTAATAAGAGTTTTAAAAAAAACAATAAGTGTGTTAAAACTACACTTCTCACAAGTGGTATGCACATGTTGCACTTAAAAGTCATAAGAAATGGTTCTTAACATTAGGAATGCTTTTTAAAACCTATATATGAAAGAATGCTAAACTATAAATATTAAGTTTCAGGGCTTTTCTTTACTGAACAATCAGGGATGGAAATTATTCCTTTTGTTACTTTTTTCATTCCTTATCGTTCTTTATTTTTCTTTTAATGACTACACCAAGGCCTTTTGACGTAAACAGTGGATTAGACTTAATGTTATTTTACCCAAATAATTTAAGTTAATTTTAGATATTTTTATAGAATTAAGATTAGTTAACTGATTTATAGTTCGATCAGTGCAGATTAAACGATTCGTTAAAAACACGTATTAAGATGTCGTTATTTTCCATAAGGAATCCATAAAACAACGTCAGTCTTACATACATGTATTTTATCAGCTTAGATGACATATTCCCATTGGAGTCCAGAAAATTCAGTCTTGCAAAAGCAAATCCCACTCACCAATATTGTCAATCCAGTGTTGTGTACAATTGAATATACCAGTGAAACATAAACTTTTTTTGCAAACAGAGCACGAGCTTTATTTCTTGTTGTTAATGTTTACGTTTCACCGGCAACCTGCAAAAATAATTCACAGAAAATATTTTTTTTAAATTATACTTATTTAAAAATAAAACAATTAAGAAACTGTCGGAAAAGAAATTGGTCTTAAACTTGGACAAAGTACATTAAACAATACAAATTTTGAAGAACAGAAAACGCAGGCCTCAGAGATCGGAGATGAGGTGCAATAGGGTGTAAGTATCCCTTGCCGACCGGTCACACCCACCGTGTCCTCCTTGCCTTGATCGAAAAATAACAAAACTTTAAATTTTTTTTTCTAATAAAATCTTTACCAATATAATTTATGAATTCAAATCACAGAAGTAAAAAAATTATGAAAAAAGAAGAATTGTATTTTAAAAAAAACTTTTTATATTATTAAATATCAAACATGTTTCTTTTCCGTGTACGATGTTAATTTTTTCAATTTTATCGTATAATTTTCTATTTGTATTGTGTAAATTTCCATTAGTAAAGCCCATTTTTTGATACCTCGACACCAGAATATAGGCTCGGATCTGTGATTATGGATATCTCATATCACTGGCTTTTTAAATCCCACGTTTTACAGAAGAAAATGCAGCAAAAACAATCTGTCTTTTCCTTGAACTTCAATATCTCAATAAAGGAATTGACGCAGATAATATTAGTAATATTTTTAGTCACAAAAGGGTCCAGTTTTGTATTCCAATATATTTCAAGGTAAAGACTACATCTTGTATTTCCTTCAAATATATACATCGACTATTGCTTCCAAACTTTTTCAATTACAAAAACACTTTACATGGTCTGGATATCAAGTATCTGAAACATATAATCCCCCATCGTGTTCATGTTCTTCTTCACCCCGTAACTATAGTCTTGCTGGACCTGGACACGTTATTTCAGGTGACGTAAATATAGTAATTAATAATGATGACCTTAAATCACTCATTCTAAAAGGTTCTAGATATAGGGAACCCAGATCCTTCAACTGGCATCGGAATTTCATAAATATTATGGATTCTGTTGAAGATGACGCCAGACGATATATCTACATGTATGTTTGATATTGGATTCGTAAGCTTCATAAGAATCTTTTTTCTTTACTCCTCATTAAGATATTAACAGTAGTGAAGGCGAAACCTCAAGAGTAGTGTGCAACTATATATTCAAGAAGTGGTATAAATCAGATGTGGATACTTAGGACACTTAAAAAATCCAAGGAACTTTTGGACAATTAGAAATCACAAGATTTTTACCAAAATCAACAACTTAAAAACTTTCGACTTTCCAACTTTATACAAAACCATTCCTCACAATAAATTAAAGTCCAGACTTTTTTGTGTATCATTAACAGCTGCTTTTTAAAAAAAAAATCGAACTAATCAATTATACTTACCTTGTCGTTGGTCATTTACAAAATTATTTTGTTATAAGCACTCTGACTGTACATAGAAGTACTCTGAAATGACTTCAAAAAGATTCTTGAAATCCTGATTGACAATATATATGTTGCTTTTGGAGAAAAAGGTCTTCCAACAATGTATTGTTATTATATACCCATGGGTACCAATTGCGCCCCGGTATTTGCAGACCTATTTTTGTATTCATATGAAACAGACATATGAAGCACATGAAGCAGAATTTGTGTAGAATCTTATGCTTGAAAAGAAGAAAACGCTTGCTGTGGCCTTCAACTCGACATTTAGATATATCGACGACGTATTGTGAATTAGCAATTATAATTACCATTCTTATGTTGATACGATATATCCTGGCGAGCTTGAGATAAAAGATACCACAGAGTCTGACACATCTGTTTTATCTTTGGATATTTTACTTGCAAAAGACGTTAATGGTTATCTAACAACTAAGCTCTATGATAAATGTGATTACTTTAATTTTTCTATCGTAAACTGCCCTTATTTATTCAGCACTATACCTCCATCAACTGCATATGGAGTTTATATCAGTTGATTCGATACGCAAGAGCATGCCCTATATACGAAAAATTCCTAAAATTGGGTAAATTATCGACAAACAAGTTTTTAAAACTAGAATATCAGCAGTCTTGTTAAAAACCATCATTTTGTAAATTTTATGATCGATAAAATGACCTTGTCAGCAAATACAATTTGTCATTGAGTCAAATACTGACGCGTTTTTAATACTAATTGTTAGACCATTATTTATACACTGAATATTGGCGACGGATTTTTTCTTTATTTCCTGATTAGGAGCACACGGCGGGTGTAACCGGTCAGTAGGGGAGGCTCTCTCCTCCACGGCACTTGATCCCACCTCTGTTTTGGAGGTCAGTGTTTGCTCTGCTCCTATTTGCTGTATTGTTTCATGAACTTTTGATCTTGGGTACTATTCGTTATCCCCATATGTTTTATTGTATCCCCATTTGTATTGTAAAAGTCTTAAGTTTCTATTAAGTCCCAGTTTTTGCATTTCGTAATTTTCCATTTGCATTGTATTATTTATCTTTTAAATCGTAAAATTTTCATTTGTAGTGTTGAACTTATAAGTAGTATTTATATTTCATATTTTCTCAGTTGTTTTGTTTACTTTTCCATTTGTGTTGTAAAATCATACAAATTTAAAATTAAGGAATATAAATAGAAAACTAAAGAATATAACAATATCATATCATAAAAATGCTAAGTCATAAAATACCATAGGAAACTTATAAAATAAAAATAAGGAATATACAAAACAAAAACAAAACTATTGCATAACAATTAAAAATATAGAACATAAATAAAATTTAACAATGCAAATTAATAGTTAAAGAATACTAGTATGCTTTTTACTAAAATTATAGAAAGTAAATAAAAAGAAATATAGAATACAAATGAAATTTATAATTCAAAAGCTAACATATAAAATTCACACAAAAATATCATATTAGAATAAAAAAAAAATTTTAAAAATGAAAAATATACAATGCAAATAATAAATGGTTCAATACAGTTCTCATTTTTACAAGAATTACGTAATATTTTTTTAATTGCCAAAGAACCATACAGTCCTTGATGCTTTTCCTGTTAACTTACGTAATTATTTTTTTACTGAAAATATCCTATTTTTCAAGATAACTACGTACATTATATTTTTGGTCTTCTACGAATACAAAAGATAAAAACAAAAAAATCCACAATAGTCTTTGGATGTCAAAATTTTAATTATTTTTGTGACCAACGTTATCGCATCTGTCTACTTTAGTACGGCACAAGTCATTTATCTTACATATTCAAATAATCAGTTACTTTACATTACAGCAATATATGTCACATTTGATTTTTTGTTTCAAGAACATAATTTTTCCTTAAGCGATTAATATACATGTAATCTTATATTAAAATGATCAATTTCTTTACATTACAGTAATATACGTCACATTTGATTTTTTATGTGTGTGTCAATTAAGAACCGAAATCTTCCTTTAGCGGTTAACATACATGTAATCTTATAATTAAATAATCAATTATTTTACATTACAGTAATATACGTCACATTTGATTTTTTGTGTCAAGAACCAAAATTTTCCTTAAGCGATTTAAATGTAAACATATCTGTCATCAAAACTTTGTTTCCCCAAAAACTAACATATAGAAAATGACAGAAATCGTTCTCTACATTATAAGGTTTGAAGATGATCGAACATAAGTTTGGGAATTCTTCTAGCTTTTGGGTGTGAGAATAGTTTTCAGCTCATTCATTATCAATTATCATACCCATAAATGGTTATTGCCTAAATCAATATACCACGACCATAGTTAAAAAAAATTTCATCGTTTTTTATTACAACCAAATAATTCTATCTTCTTTTCACCGAGTGAAACTTCTGGTCCATGGAACTGGTCTCTCTTCTTGAACGATTCGGCCATTCATCAGCATTTCAGCAGTAAAAGAGTATCTAGAGGACTTTCGAGACATGCGCGATAGCTGAAGGGAAGTATCCAATCCTTGATTAAACGACACCCTCTCCTTGTCTGTAAAAGAAGATCAAGATTTAAAAAACATTGTAAGACATAGCTGGGAATTCCTTTAAAAAGAAGACATTACATGTCAAGTTTGCAAGTGCACTTGTTCAATGGAAATATATGAAGATTACGAACAGTATCCAAGATTAAAAGTTCATAAAAACAATACAAATCAAGAGTAGAGCAAACACGGATGTCTAAACATCAGACGCGGGATCAGTTGCTAAAGGCGAGTGAGCATCCCCTGACAACCGGTCACATCCGCCTCTTCATAATAAAAGAATAGCTTTTAAAAACATCGAAAGAAAAAATAGCAACAAATGTTCCTGACAATTTGTAGATGTTTCTATACAAACATGGACACAGCGAATTTTTGGTATACGTTATTCGGACCATTGAATTTCAATGAAGATTTTTTTATCATAAAGACGTTTTATAATAAATTGTTTGAAATTCACTTTGATAGCAAAAGCCAAGATTTGACGGGTAAGTTACTTCAAGTTACCGGTAATTGAAGTACTAGTATTGTATGCTAGTAATTTAATCCTTTTTCAAAATTATACTGGGGATCACAGTCATTTATTTGTATTTGTCACTTTTGTATATTACAGGGAAATGATGTTCAGTTTTCTACAACATGCATGACAATATAGGTATGTTGTTACATTGTTGCATGCAACACCTGAATGACAGTAAAACACAAAATACTTTTGAAATCATTTTATGAACATAAATATGTAAACACAACAGAAGAAAAGCTGATCCTAACATCCACTGATTAATTTATCCTTGACACAAACCTCCATATATCTAAGAACTGTTTGAAACTTGTCTAGAGTCATCAGTTGCCTGTTGTTTTTTTTCTCTATAATTTTGTGATAATTTTGTGATGTCATTTATTTGTTTGGTCAGCCCAAAGCAAGTGACTATTTATTCTGTCTGTCACATCATATACTTCTCTGAAGCCCCTTTACATTTTAACTTTAATGCAATAGTTTTTTTTAAATTTTAGGATGTAATTGGTGGTGCCGTGTAGATTAATGTACAAAAATGTTTTCTAATTTCAATTCATTTTTCATTTTGAAAACGAATTGCATCTCAAAATACAATGTTTTTACATGAAAAACTATTTCTCAGAACTAATTCTACAAGGGTTGTTCGAAAATTTCGTGGACGATGTCAATCTTCGTTATATTACTCACTAGAAATTTAAAATAAGCATAATATAATATGCAAAAATATTTGTTTTGTTTCATTTTATTCGATTAAATAGAAATCAATTTACTTCATTTTAAAATCAACATGTTTTGTTCCCGTGGAGCACACTTAACGGCAATATGACCTAACATAGCGTCAAGAATTTCTTTAAAAATAAATACTATCCCTATACATTTCACAAAGTATGATCCATTGCCCACTCATTAAATCCTTTTTCTAATACTTGACTATTTTTTAAGATTTTCTCTCATTGTATAAGTCCCTTTCTTAAAGATTTAATTTCTTTTATTACTTAACTCTGCTTTCACGGGATAAGCAACTCTGGAGCGCCTTTGTCTTTCCTTGACGTTCCAACTTTTTTATTATTTTTTTTTTGTTAAGATTTTTACATTTAAACCGTTTCTTCACATATTGCCCTCATTCGATACAGAGTCCCTGCCATTCAAATACTGCCTGTACTATTTGTACTCACATGCACAACTCGCTTGTGACATACATTCTTGATTTCTTCAACATTTTAAAAGTTTATTCAGGATTTGACCCGAGTAAAACACAAAATTGCATCATTATCAGCTGCTCCGGATCGTGACTTCTAAAACGACATCATTTTTGTCGTTCTTAATGAGGACTACCTATCTTTTCTTTCAACAAAGCAAAATATTTAGCCATAATTTTGAATGCGAATCAATGTATCATTTATTAATATGAATTACTAGGTTGTTTTTCTTTTTTGTTCCATTTCACAGAGAATATGACTACAGACATTATTTAGTGTTTTGTTTGTAACTTACTAAATTTTGATCTGCTCCGCGATCCTATTTTTGCATTTTTAAAAAATGGATGCTTTTAATAAATGGTGATATTTTTAAAGGATTAATAAAAATCATCTGAATTTATTGTTAAAATTTTTCTACCAAATTTGGATAACATATGACGTCAAATAAAAAAAGATGTGACAGAAGTCCACGAACTTTTCGAACAACCCTCGTATATTTTACAAAGTAACTTATTCATCTTTCGGAATGTGATTAGTGGTGTCCAAAAGATGTGCCTTAAGGTCTTGAATGTTTTATTTTCACTCTGAGCTAAAGAAAGAGGACAAAAACGATGTGTTTTTCTTTTTACACTGGATTCCCTGGATGCATTTTAAAAGTTTAAGTAGTAACTTAATTATCCTTTGTAATAAGATTAATGGTGACTATCATTTTTTATGGTTCAGATATAAAGGTTTTAGAATATAGTGGGCGGGGAAACTGTTTACAGAAAGAAATACAACTTAGCCTACTATTTTTCCCACAAAAACCATGTTTCCAAAGTTTTAATTTTTAAAATGGAAACCGCCTTTCAATATCTCTTTTTTTAATTAAATTCTCTTTTTTAAGACTGATAATGAAATTAAAGAGGCCAATCAATTAAAGAGGCTACAAATCTACAGGCCCATGGGCATTAAATGCTGAAATTGATGTACGTTTTTCGTGTAAATTTCCTTATATTTCATTTCATTCCAGTCAAAGTAAAGGATATGATTATTGAAATTGGGAGTGGACGAACTATAACTTAATTTGAAGCACTTAAGTTTTTCTTTTCTAAACTAGAGTTTGTTGGTACTGATGACATTGGGCTTTGTCGATTCCTCGAGTCAAGTAGAATTATATTGTTTGAAATTGTGATTATTTTTGTGAATTTTTCTATGTTTTAACATTGAATTGATAATTCAACGTCAAGCAAATACAGTGAAGTTGAGCAGTGATTACATATTTGAATATTATATATAATTATTCATAAGTTTCATTTAAAGGTACCTTTGTTGGATATCCAAAGATGTAGTCGCATCATTTTTTGCAAGTGTCTCTGCTGAAAATCAAAATGGAATAAAATAGTTAAAAAGTGCTTTAGGAATAAAAATGTAATGCCATTCCAGATATTATCTAACACGTTCACAAAAACACAAAATTACAACATTAGGACGACGTAAAACATGCCATGATTTTAATCACATTTAAAGGTTTCTAACCTTTACATATTATATTCCGGAATGCTTGGCGAAATTTGACGGATAGCATATTGTAAATGATAGGATTAATGGCGCTATTGACAAAAACCATTGTTCTACAGAAAAGCCAGAACCAGGAGTCCCTTAGCTGCAGCTTCTCTTGGAAGGAATTGTAGACAACGACGATTCGATACGGAAGCCATAGAGTTCCGAACAGCACCATAACCACAATCAGCATGCGCACAACCTGTAAAAATTAGAGTGTTTGAATGGTTTTGCTGGAAAGATTCTTGTCTATCTGTCTAACCAGGCAGAACAGTAATAATTAGGTACATTTTTCATTAAGAATTCACTGAAATTGTGAAGCTTTTTCAAAATTTGATTTCATCTAATAGCTCAAGATTACATTCTTGTTGTTTTTTTTCGGGGGGGGGGGGGGGGGGGGGTAATTTTAATTAGATGATTTTTAGCACATAGCACTAAGACAATTTATACTCTTTTGTACATTTTGAATCGATAAGCCTCAGTTTCAATGAGAAACAGATTAGTCGTCTCAAGCACTGAAAAACAAATTATATTACTAAAAATGACTCTCAGTTGAAAGAATTTATGGAAAGTAAATCAATATCCCTTTAAAAGAGAAATATATTTTCAAACAACAATTTGTGTAAAATCGTTTAACCTTTTGGCTTCATCTTTTCGAAATATGTAAAAACACTAATTTTTGTAGCATGGAACAATTTTCTGAAAAATTACAAGATGTCAATTATTGTCCTTTTACCCTGAATACTTGTAGTATTTTTTTATAAACTAGTAGTATAATGAACGTGTGGTTTCTTTTATAAGAGTCCTTTTACGAGATGATTTCCGCAGTGGGAAGGTTTTTCAATTAGACAAGAGTGGGAAAAATGCAACAAGCTGATAATGACTCCATCACTGTAGTTTTAATTCATCAATGTCACACGATTTTGTTCCAAAATTAGAAATACAATGGTATGATCTCACGTTTTGTATTCTTTTCATCAGCTGAACTTATGATGCAGTTAGTAACGCGTTACTCTGTCTGAGAAATGAATATCAGGAGTAGGACAATAACCATTAAGGGATTTTTTTAATTTTGTAATTAGGGAAGATATATAATCATATAAAGCAGTCATAAATCATGGACTGAATTTTGTGATTCTCTTTGCAGCTTAAGTGATGTACCAGAACATTTTAAAAAGAGTGCAAAAATGCCTTATATTATTTCTGAGTTCATTGCCTATCAACCTATAGAAAAACTTAAAACTTTTATTTCTGACAGTACAATTTAGTTTTTTCATATTTGTATACATTTACTGATTATCAAATCACTTTTGTGTAGGATAAAATGGTTGAATCGAAATAAATCAAGGTCATTCCACGAGAAAAAAAAATAAAGTTAAACACTTAACACCGAAATAAATTATCCAAGGTAGATGTAAAAACTTCAAATCGAAGTAAAAGAAATGTGAAAATTTGTCCTCCGACATTTTTCTCAAAGTTAATAACATTGTAACAGTGGCTGTGACCAAATGTCTTTCAAATATTGATTGATAAGGCTAACAAATAAATAGTCATTAGTCTGAAAACCAAACAAACGGTGTTTTTTTTTTCTCAGATTAAACTTCTTAGAAGAGCAAGAGATTGAGGAGCTTTCCAAAACAATTTCACAAACATAAAAAAAAATTGGATTTTCATATTCTCTAAAATTACTAATAGCTCTATGGTATTTTATTGTTTAAAAAAAAAGTTTTTAAGGTCGCAGTTCAAAAGAATTTGACATTTTTTCCAAAATCAGCATAGCATTTGGTTAAGAGTTTAAGCTTTCTAAATTATTTATTCCCTTTCAATAAAGAAATTATATAAATGAAAATCGTAAACTAATCAATTACTCCATTTCAAATCTTTGATTTTAAACCTATACGTAATTGATTAGAGTAAATGAAAAGTAAAAAGTTTAAGGATAACGGTGATTAATCTCGTTTCTCCTCAACAAAACAAATCTTAAACAAGGCAAAACCCGACTCCCTGCAAACGCCAGAGATGGGATCAGGTGCTCGGAGGGAGTAAGCTCCCCTGTTAACCCGGCAAATCCGCCACGAGCCACACGCATTGATCAGGTAAAAGACGTTACAGTAGTCATTAATTTATTTGTTTACAGCTTGCATTCTTTTTAAGTTGATTTTATTCTTAGCATGATCTTTGGTATCAAATTAGAGTGAAGAGATACACAGCATATACAGGTGATGTTGAAATTGTACTTTAATGAATTTAAACGATTTATTTTAAACTCGAAACTGATTTTGGACAAATTCTACATAAAACAGTTGTGAATGGACAAAAATTATGAAAAGCGAGGTCGATTTTTTTTTTATTAAGAAAATTGTTAGGTATTTAAAGTGTCAGTTTTAAAAACAAAATGGGATCAGTTTGTAAAAATAGAATGGGATCAAAAGCTTTTTCTCAACATAAACTTTCAACTTATTTTTTTTTTCAAATCAAATGAGTTGATTTTTTAAATGTATTTTCTTATGGGAGTATAAATGAACTAAAGTAATTATCAGTACGTAAAAATACAAATGTTCTCATTGTTCGACAATGACGAAGTCCTTCTGTCAAGAATTATTTAGGCTTCTTAAGAAAGAAGATTTTTTTTAAATATGCAAGACGAACGCTTCTTGTTTTTCCCAGATGAACATAAAAGTGGTGCGTTACAATCACTTCCGCGAGCATGTAAAAATTACATAGAATGATATGAATAAAGGAGGGATTTTATTTACCAGGTATATTGACAAATTTTACCCCCCTCTTGAAAAGTGGGAGGGTATTCTGTAATCGGTATGTCCGTCCGTCCGTCCGTCTGTTACGCTTTGGGGTACCCATCTCTTATCCGCAACTACTCTTATACCACTGAGTGAAATTTGATGAAACTTTCACAAATCTTTATTACATATTGCCATTGTGCACCTCCTATTTTACTTTTTTATCCGACACATATTTTGGGTTTCCCGGCCACAGCAAAACATGCGACTTTGCCATTTTATCATATGGGAGGCCGGGGGTATCATTTAGTGAGCTCTTTGCTCACAGTACCTCTAGTATTTTCTTTAGTTTACTGAATTTCTTTTCATAAGATAAAACGTCATATTATTCCTAAAATAAACTTAATTAATGAAAACACCCTTGAAATAAATCTGTATCAGGTCTTCCTGCTTAACAACCGAAAAGATAAGGAAACGAATTCCGGGTGTGTTTATTAATTTGTCAAAAGTTTAATTATTTCCTGACACTCCTCAAACCGATTGTAATGATAAAAATAGTTCTCCACCAGACCCATGAATCAAAACACTTTGATCTGAACAGGTACATTACATAAAAGCAACAAGCAAGATCAACATATTTCCCTTTCTCATAAATGAGATCATGTCTACAAGATAACCACAAGTGTCTTCTCTGGGTACACCATGCAAACCAAAATACTTTGTCTCACAATTACAAAACATCATTCACTGTATCATTTTTGTCTAGATAAAGACTGCAATATAATCTTTTTCATTTTTTTTAATAAAGGATGAGTGCACTTAAGGTATGGCAGTTGCATGGGTCCCAGTGTTTTGCGCAAAATTTATGTTTTATATGTATTAAACAATAAACAGGTTTTGCTAAATTATATTACATGAAAGTACTGAATAATGCCGAGCGACACTATCTTTTGAGACGGAGGTCTAACAGTTTTGTCACATTTCTATTGTTAATCATATGCATACCAGTTTTCAACGACATTGTTTCCATCGAGCCGCAACTTGGCCGTTGGTCTCATTTGCACAGAATGTGTATTTTAATTTAAAATAATTTAATTCTGGTTGTAACGCTGTATTTGATTGGATAAAAAATGTACTTCATATCGTATAAAATGGGTTGCCTACGTCACAATGACTTTCGTCAAAAACGTATCAATCCGCCTGGCGTTACATTCAAATTTTGTACAATTTGAAGTCATTTTGTCAGAACAATATTCTTTTTTTTCTTACATCAAATGAATGAAAATTAAATTATAAGGAATGAATTTAATAGCTACCCATTTTATACGGTATAAACTGGGTTGGAACAGTTTACGCTTTTTTATAAACCGATTCGCGGTTTATAAAGCGTAAACTGCCCCAACCTAGTTTATACCGTATAAAATGGGTAGCTATTAAATTCATTCCTTAACTAATACAAATCTAAAGGACAATGTTGGCCAAGTTGCGGCTCCAAACTACTGTCAAGTTAACCACTAAATTAACAGGTCCCCGAGTGTCAACAATTGATATTATAATCACTTTACTCAAGTGACATTCCACGGTTCGATACGCCAACGCATTCATTGAACATTTCATTGTGTTTGTCATTTGAAGTTTCTATTCGAACAGTATCTATTGTACTTCCAATTTCAAACTATGGAAGATTTTTGCACAAATTTTAATAAGGTTCGAGATTATATGTCTCTTAATTATTTTCCTGTGTGTATTTTTCGTTAGGAGTATTTTGAAAGAATTCAGGTATTGCAAATGACGTACTAAAGTGCAATCATTCTTTTGCAACTTCTTTCAAATCTAATTTAATTGTTTGTTATCTTAATGGAGTACAAAATTTATTGATTAAATGGACATTCAGTATGATAAAAATATCATATCTTTTCAATTACGTATGTATTTATCAAAGAAAATAATACTTCATTCCTGCTGGATGCTCCACAGCACCTGGTACCACCTCTGATGTTTTAGAGATCCGCCTTTTGTCTGCTCCTGATTTTTATAGTTCAATGGGCGTTAAGTTTGAATATATATATTTAAATTATCTCATGAAAAAGAGTTTACACATCCTCTTTTTACTTACTGACAGGTAACTGCTAAAATTGTTAATGCATCAAGATTTTGAAATTTATATAATGAAATATATGGAGAAAATGAACACTATTCAAGTTCAAAAGTCCATAAAAGCAATGCAAAATTAGAGCAGAGCAAACAGGGACCTCCAAAACATCACAGGTTGGATCAGTTGCCATGGAGGAGTGAGCATCCCCTGCCGACTGATCACACCCGCCATTTGCTCCTTGTCATCGTCAGCAATTACTTGTCTGTCGAAATTGTAAAGGCTTTAGAGAAATTAAACAAAAGAGACCAAGGTGCTAAAAATACTAATAATGAGAAAATAATAGTGATATTCTGGATTCTCTTTTCTCCC